AAGAGAAATGTGATAGGATCGCTCCCCGCAGAACAAGTATCGGCACTGAAAAAGACGATTTTTTACTGTCTAACTGGGTAAAGTGACTACGATCCTTAAAATAGCCACGCAGCAGTTTACACAAGCTAGTGCGAACTTCGTTCTCAGATAGCGATTGAACAACACTAACATATCCAGGATTCCAGTCATTTGGGCCATCAAGAAAAATAAGCCGTACGGATATCCATCTATGAGCTGTAGTGCAGATGCTATAGCATGAACAAGATGTGCCCCTGCAACCAATGTAGAGCGCTGGGGTCTATAGGCAAACTGGCAACTATAGTCGGTAAGGTTGGCTGTGAAAATCCGCAGAATTAGCGTTTTGCCGAAAACTGTCAGAAACACAAATGTATACGCAATCGGGCGATACTTATAAGATCCCGTTTTGAGTACTGGGGTGATTCTAGCCGATCTCCAAACGCCTTGAGACACTTGTTGAAGAGATCTGTTAAAAGTAATGTGAAAGAATCAGCACACTATCAAAGCTAGTGGTAACAGAGCATCCGACCACTAGTTTTGTTTGGCTTTAGTCTTGAGTTCCTTGCGTACGTCAGCTAGGTCGAAGGGAATTGCTGAACATGAGCTGGTGAAGGAGAGTAGGTGAGTTGCACTTGGTGAGGCGGAGCTAAACTCATAATTTAGTTTCTCCACTTTGGTTGTGGGTGATCTTACCAAAGAGCTATCTAAAACATGACAGTTGTGATTGCCGAGAACCGCTTTAATGTATAAGTTGTTTCGTATCATTATCTCAGATTTAAGTGATAGGGTAAGGCGCTTGACACCAGTGGACATCTTACATCCATAAATTTATATTTTCATAATTCGAAGTCGTTTCAGCAATGGGTGACGAAGATCTACCCGCCTATAGGCAGATCGCTTCCACAGGACAACACAGGTCATATCAATTTTTGATGTAGTCACAATGAATAGACAAGTGGTAGTTGAAGACTGAAAAACCTGCTAAGGTAAATATCGGCTGGAGTCTTGTGATATTTACAAGGGAGCAATTTCGCCGTGTAATAACCTAGTCAGCGTGGAAAATAAGCTCCCTGTATATGACTGGACACAAGCTAAAACCAATGAGGTGAGTTGCTCAAAGCAGCTCGTTTTTTGTTTGGAAGACAATTGCACTTTGTGTGATAAGCCCCCAAATGAGTAACTTGTCCATCGAAGAAGTCACTAGATTTACAAAGCCAACTGTCCTCAGGAATGATGTATATTTTTTTAATAAAATCGTCGATAGCTCTGCAGAAAGAACAATCTAGTTTCAGCAGTAGCGTTGAAAAAACTAGGTCATCAAAAGGCTTAAACTCTGACGCAGATGTGCGAGCAGTATTGTGCATGTTTCCAGCGCTGACCGGTTGAAAATCACCTGAGAACTTCGGTTTGCATTCAAATAAATGGTAGCTTATATATTGGGTAAACATTATTGTTGCTGAATTGCACCAAGGTTGGTTAATGTACGTGCTAACACCTCCACCAGGAAACTGGGGGTTTCCTGGACAATCAATCTTGATGGGATAATAGCCATCGAGTTGAATACCACTATCTTCCATATCAGTATGCAGCCAGATTTCTTACAACAGAGTGAAAATTGTATTTGCATACTCACTTCGCTGGAAAGTATAAACGAACCTGCAATTTGTCGATAGAGCAACGACTGATGCCAGATTGCTAGCTAGTATGCTTTCGCTTCTTCAAAAATTTCTCCCCATAATTCGTTGGAAGGCATTCAAGGACTTGTAACCGTATTCAATCAGTCGCAGATAAAGTATCACGTAACGCTTTTATGAGATTGACGGAGTAGGGCAATATCACTGATCTAGAGTATATTTCACAAAACTAAACTATTACAAACATCTAAGTAAAAAAACTTTAAATCCGCAGTCCGTAGCGGCATACTTCAGTAAATTCTAAGCTCCATCTCCGTGTGGTTTACAAAGCCGCCTCCCGATCAACTCATTCAACTCGGTATTGATGAGCCTGGGAAAGAGTGGTGACGGCCGAAGCAACACCCTTGGCAGCTAAATGCAACATCCCACACATTACATGAAGGATCTAGGCGTACTTTCATGTTGCGAGTCCGTGAACAACACGAACAGGCTACATCGAAACGGACTGTACATGCTCAAGGCGCTCAAACGCAGCTTATGCATTTGGTGTGGAGAGGCTGTCAGATGACTCTTCATCATAAGACCAGAGAACGGTTCGCACGCCCACTGTCCGATAACCTTGAGCAAGGAGCAGATCACGCAGGTCCAACATATTAGCTGAAGGTGAGAAGTCCCGCAGCTATTGTACCGCAATAAGAGGAGATGAAACGTGGAAAAGCGAGATACGAAATATAACAGAATACAAAATAAACGTCAAAAAGCAATATTATTTTGCTGCAAGAGTGAAATCGTGGTTGGGGGGAAGATAAGCACAGCACGGAGGCGCTCTATTGGTCGATACCTCTGTGATTACTTTTTGACACTGGTGCTATTCGGGTTGCTTCCAAGATGATGGAGATGGTACCAGTTGTTAAACATCCGTTGAAAATCTATGCCATCTGCACATTCTTTCAAAGCGATTAGTGATAGGACACCAGCGCCAATGAGTTTGTTTATCATTAGCCTCGTGAGTAACTTCCTTTTGGTACCACTACCGACACTCTCATGGTACATCCGAAATTGGATATCTGGATTGCATCAGAAAAACCCCACGGTGCTCACAAGCGAATACGACAGGGAACGCGGCTTTTGTGTTGTTTTCCGAGCCAATCAATTATTCTGAATATGTTTAGCTGCCAAACTAGGCTACATCGTCAATGCACCTTCAAGGATCTGATTCGCAGGGTCCAGTAAGCGACTTCCAAATCCAAGTTCATATTGTCCGAATTCCGCTTTGAATGCTAGGCTACAATGGACTCACGCGCTTGCCGGCTGATTGCTCTTCCAAAGACTTGAGGTGTTCCGGGTAGAAGTGGTGACTTCCGGCGTCCATGTGCACGGACATCATGAAGTTCTGATCGTGACGTTCAACGTTAGGCTATGTGAATGTGGCTGCAAGCTGGAGCCAACACACAGACCCGTTGCCCATCCATTGAAATGCCAGATTACAAGGAGTACCGCGGCTACTCCAAATGCACATGACGCCTGTGGTATTCAAAAACAGTGCCTGCTCGCGTTCTCGAGCACTTCTGGAACGTAGACCTACCTAAAGTCGCTAGTCACTGGTCACATTACGATGAAGGGCAGCTCAGGATGAGAGTGAAGCCAAGGCGCCACATGCGGATGGTCAGTTGGTCCAACAGCGCGTGCAGATAGGCTCCAATCACAACGACAATTCGGCCACAGTAAAAAATCTCATGTGTCGCTTGCATTGTCCAATGGCGTGCGCAAACTCCGTGTCTAATACATAGCAGTTCTCACTTGGGCGGCCATGGACAGACGCCAATTCATTACTAGGTGAAGCCGTGCCCCGTGAGTTTGGTCAAGCACGTTCCCAATACTTCGCGTGGAATTAGCTTCAATGTAGTCTATCGTTGCTGGTTTTGAGCGTGGAACGCAGCTGGATATTTTGTCTGCCTCGCGTATAATAATGGCACAGGTGAGACCATGTTTTAGAGTCATACTACCACACCGCGATGTAAAAAACTTCAATATGCTGTAGGCTGATTTTTGATTGCACACACAATGAACTGTACCCGGCTGCATTCAGAAGGGTTTGAAAACAACCGGTGGGTGTAGTTGGATGACAACGTTCAGCTTTCGACACGAAAGTTTCGTCAAGCCAAATGAACTAGCCGGTGACTGGTTGTCTTTTACGCCAATGTGGGACAATAATCGCGGAGACCGAGATGCAAGTGGGATGGTAATCACGTTACAGGTCACAGTGTCATTTGAAGTGCAACATTAGGGATGCTAACATATCAGGTGGTTCATTGTACGATGTCATAACACGTAAATCGCTGCCAGCCAAGGGGGTAGGGGTGGCTTGTTGTTCGCGCACTGCCCCAGATCCACCCGCCGACGGCCCTCAGACTGGCCTCACACTAAGTAACTCCAGTCCACCTGTGTGTGCACGCACAAGTCGGCTTGCACCACTAGCCAGTAGCTTGTGCTATTAAATTTTGGGGAACAGCGGCGAATTGTAACGGCAGTCTAGAGCTTTTTCGGGGAATGTGGAAAAATATCGGATGTGGAAGCTTCTGAAAGGGACCCAACCAATCGAAACACCTATACACCAGTATATCAAAACAAACTTAATATACCCTAAATTAGAAATCGTTTGGTTTAGGAATGAATGCAAAAGGACCTAGTAAACTAATATAAAGAAATTAGTTAAATGTGAACCTGAAACACGAAATTTGCACCAGGACCATCGGCACATCCCACCCTTATTTGTTTTAAATAAACAAATAAAATATTTTCTATCGAACGTTTCGAGGCACACATGATCAAAATTTTACTAGCAACGATGCTTCGCATAGGTCAGGATACATTATATGCGCAGGTTAAGTGTACTGGTGAGAAAGAACCTAGTACATTGTTGATAAAGAGGGTTCAAACTTTAACGACGGTATGAAGAAATGTATCAAAGCGTGCACATCAGAATTATAGGTATGTGGTGTAGGGAGAATTGCCAGTGTGATGCAAAGGGCGGTGACTTTATTTGATGGCGAGTCACATCCGCAAAGTCGCAGTGTTGTTAAGCAGACATTGGTGGTCTTTTATAGAGTGAAGGCTTGCAAGGCGAAAACACACCAAGTGCTGGAACACTGCCGTGTTCCAGACATTTGAAACAACATGTACAGGTTTTATACTCGTTCAGCTATAACCAGAACCTCTAAATAGCTACTGTCATTAACCGGCGGATTAAATAACAAGATTACGAACAATCAGCAACAGGATATACACCCTGAGAAGTGAATAAACAAATATCAAGAATCACCAGAAGCGATGCAACATAAGACTCACCCAACATGTTGAGGGTCCCCACTGTGTTTGCTTTGATTGTCCGAACAGGGTTGAGCATGTAGTGTGGGGGCGATGCAGGTGAAGCGAGGTGGTAAATTTCGTCCACTAAAAAGAAGTACAGGTAATATGGACTAAGCTTGTTGGGTAGAAAGATAATATTGAAGTAAAATGGTTGATCCGATCAGGATTATTATCCCATCACACGGACAGAACGATCAAAGTAATGTAAATCCACGGTTGATGCACTAACAATGAACTTCCAAACTTCGATTACTCTCTTTTACGTTTTCTGCGCAGCCAGCGTGAGTTATCGGTGGCTACTCCACCGGAAACGCCCTCGGCTGCTAATTGTGTGGCTGAAGAAGAAACCGCCCAAGAGAATGAATCGGTGACAGGGTCCAACAATATGGCAGCTACTGGAATTTACGCCTTTTCAATTCCGATCAAACAGCTCTGCAAAAAACATAAAATGCCCGGCGTATTCATAACGAGTAAACAACATAGCCACTATGACCATACAGATGGAGATCTTTCCGAAGTACAAGTACACATCTTATTTTGTAAGTTTCCGCCAGATTTCTTACTCTCACAATAAAGAGCCCTCTCCAGGCTATACGAGCAGTCTGAACTCGTGCCCATCCAATACCGGTTTTAGTCGCAGCATTTTATTTCTCGGACGCCAGTTCTTCGTTGTTTACGTAACATGCAGTCTTGCAAAGCACTCAGCATGCGGTGGCCACCGGAATCGCTATCGACAGGAAATCGGCACACCGCCATTCCCCCTGTGACTCAAGCGTGCGTCATTGCGCGTCTCAGCCCGCTTACCACTACAACAGACTAGTCGCGTGTGAATGTGCGTAGACAACTGCCGCGCTCGTTCTCTTGGCCTAGACAGAATAAGCACCGCAGTCACGAACATGCCCCAAAACGAAGCCCAACGAGCCACAGCCGATCACCGCTTGCAGCCGCAGAAAAACGGTTCGAAGTGGTACTTCATGCTCTGGATGCAGCAAACATTATCAAGCCGATTGTGCTCGCCTGTCTACAAGGAATGTAAAAGATCTGAACAATAAAGTAGGCTCATTTTGGCTCGGCACTAATCGTGTGGCTGTCCCACTTGTTAAGTGCATTGCTAATTTGGCAAAGAAATGCGATAACCACGTGGCGGTGGCCAAAGAATCAAGACTCTGCAAATGTTACCTTTCGGAATCGACTGTATAGCGGCTGATTAGACGATAAGGGTAAATCCATGAAGCTAGGTACACGGACAAAATCAATCTGAAACCAAGAAACCAACCGCAAATCGTTATAAGGGATGGAACCTGAAAAAACCGGTGGCGCAATATATACCGGATAACGGGAGCACACACGATAGCGCTAATGGCGGGGCTACACATACTCGTCCGCTGACGCTGCCCAAGAATCCGAAGCAAACGCTATGGCTGCACTAGGCTCAAGTACACAGAATACTAATGTGAGACAGGTGGTTAACCGCCCTCGTATATCGATCTCCGATGTCCACTCCAGAAATGAACAACCAGCTAGCTTCTGCCCTAAAAACTGTTCTGACTCAGTCGAACACTCGCGTTCTCCTTGTGGAAGACTTCAACTTGCACGCCTGAGAGGTCTGCCTCGATGGTTTGGCATCTTAAAGTTGAACTGCAAGAACAAATGGCTGGCGTATCATTTCATAATCACGCTACTTCCCTTACGAGATTCAGAACAGGGATCAAACCGGCCATTTTGGACCTCGTGTTCAACAATGAGGAAGCTATGCTCGACACATTGACAGCGAGCAGTCGCTCTGGACGCAGTAATCATGCAACACCGCTCTTCCACAAGTCTGTGCGCATAACACTTCAACGGGAACATAGAGGAGGCCCGTAACCGACCGCAACAAGGCTATCGATTGGTCATACCTAGCTGAACAACTTTCCGGTGTCGGTTGGGGGTAATTCGTCAACTAATTCCGTATGTTAGTAACAAACAAATCTTCAGTTATAAAAAGATAACACATGTGTTGAGGGTTAGGACACGGAAGCGAATGACATTCAGTTATACACTTCGGAAACCATACAAAGCCAATCCAAACTCCGAAAACTGAAACGTGTACATAACCGACTGAAACCATTGCGTCATGCCGGTCCGCAGTTTCAAAGTGAAACGGAAACACGATTTAGCGAAGAGGGTCTGCTCCGATCCTAAGTGTAGTGTTCAAATACTTTGCTTTGTTTTTGCCCTCGATTCATTTATCCTAAGCACACTTCTATTTACACTCGTTGGCCAACCACGAGATCTTGCATTTGATTGGTAGCAATTTGAACCTCTATCGATTTAATTGTACTGCGCGTGCGTGCAGTTTTCTCCAAACGTACGTTACGGTGCTGCTCTGGTCTGTTGCTTTTTCGGGATACAACAAATGGGCGCCGCGTGTTACCGATGATTTGCATGTTAGTGCCCCTGCACCGTTCGGGGCTGACTCTGCGGTTACTCCAAATGCAGAATGCTAGGAAGATTGGAAAATTAGTTTTTCAGATTATATTTCAGCGTTACCAGTTTTCAATTCGTCGGTGAAGCTGAAGACGGAGGATACTTTAAAGCTTTTGCGCTTGCACCTCGGCTCAGAGGGTCGAAATATATTTGATGCCCTAAACCTGCAGGAAAAACCCACGTTTACAGAGGCCATATCGACCCTCGATAAACACTAGGGTGTTCGAGCGAACACCTATACTTCTCGGTACAATTTTGCGCAGCTGAAACAAGCATCTGGTGAATCAGTGGATGCACTTATTTCCCATCTTGTTTGTTCTGTTTGAAAGTGTGACTACAATAGTACTGCCAAAAAAAGTAGAAGCAGGCATGCTTATACAACAGTTGATTGCTGGTCTCGTAGATTATTGGATCAGACAGTCCCTTAATGGAGAACAAAAAAAGCTCACATAGGACAGGAACTGTGACGTAGCTCGCGCGAAGGTCGCAGTCACGGTACAAAACAAAAATTTCCTCTCTAACATAGGAGCAACTGAAATTGACCGTTTGGATTCCACACGCTCTCTGACGCGATGCTCAGTTAGAAATAAGTGTTACCGTTGTGGAAATGCTGAACATCGTGTAAATGAGAAGTCATGTTCTGCAAAGAGTGAAATCTGCCGGAATGGCGGTAACACCGGTTAATTTGCTCGGGTTTGTCTTTCCCACGCCATTTCTTTAGTTGATTCTGCAAATGAACCTGGGATTCCTCCGGTCACCACTAAACAATCCATATATGTAGTTAATGAATGCGAAGGTCCACTTTCGCGAAGGCCTATATATATATGGTTGGCGGCATCCGGTTTCGGATTTGCTTGTCACTGTGGCCAGCCACAGGACGCCTGCGCCTACAAAGGGACCACGGGTGGCTTGCGCTGCACCACCCACAGCTCCACCCACACACCCCATATCCAGTGTAAACCCGAAGGAATAAGACCGGGAGGCATGTGGATAGGAGCCAGGTTTCATCAACGGAGCCGACCCACACTCCTTCACAGGCAAACACAAGCACGCTGTATTTGGGAAATCAATCGCATACAAGGAGGTGGCTGGACCGTAGTCCGCTCCACACTGAGTGCATGGAACCACTCTTCGAGCCTAGCACGGACACAAGGACCGTGCACCCCATCCCCTCCAGCAACGACCAACTGTCGCCTGGAGCCAGTATGGACGAGGTAGTGGGTAATAGACAGGTAGGCACCTTGTCAACATGCACATCAAGCGCAGCCACACTGGGGATATCAAGCAACAGCCAATCACCTGGAACGACAAGATGAAATAAAACAAATCCAATAATGCATACAGATACGGTGGCATAACACTTTGCTAAATTAGCATATGAAGTAAGTTGGTTAGCAATGAATACGCGATAAGGAAAAAAATGTCCGCAAGTTACTCAAAAATGCTACAAACCCAACAAAGTAACCGAACAAAAGCACAAATAATGTAAGCAACATGGCCAGTTAATAAAAGAGTATTCAGGTAGACAGAACAAGCCAAGTAAAGTGGAATGAAACTTAGCCAGCTTAAAGGACCTAGTTTAAGTGTAAGATGGTTTAGACCAACTGCGGTGAAGAAGCATCAAGAATGCAATATATATATATATATATACATACATATATATACATATATATATATATGTATATATGGCGGGGGACCCTATGGTCCGCTGACGCTGATGGCCGCTGGATCCTGAGAAATTGTGTACAAACTGCTGCTGCGGTTGTGCCACGGACTGATGTGCCGCAGGCCTCCTCGTGGCGACCGCCGGGTGGGAGTTAGGTTACGCCCTTTTCCCTGCTAAGATCCAGCACACCAGACCGCATGAGTCAGTACACTGACCAAGTGCTAGACCCACTGCCTTTCAGGTGTACATTTAATCGAAGGCTTTTGCGGAGGACCAGAGTCGTTCTACTGTCAGGTGTGGGCGCCCTGTCAGTATCCTAGTCCATGCTCTTCGGAGGTTAGGAACTGGTCGATGGCCCTATTCCCGTAAAACCTAGCCATGGGAGACAACAGGTCTACGGGTTATATGCTCACAGCTCTATTGGCGTAGAACACGAGCACTACGCATTGTATCTGACGGTGGGAGGGCACCTCCGGATGGCCAATGCTTTGCTACTGCTCGCCTCAAGCCAGGCAGCCCATGAGCAAATTGGTACAACCCGCCAAAACCTACCTGCGTCTAACCGTGGTCGCAGGTGCGTATCCTAATACGATCGCAAAAACTTAAATGAATCGTTCCAGTACCTAAAAGACTGCGTGTGACGGCCGTCAAGCAGATCCCAATCTGTCTCTGCAATCACATTCCCGAGCTGGATCTGCTCCCCACTGCCTTGTGAGTCAAGCAATTGAGCCAAAGGCTCCGAATGGAGTACCCCATGCAAACCTCCGATGCACATCCGCCACCTCGAGTGCGATTGCCCACCAATACAATTGTATGCCTGCGTGCAAAGCACAGCATCGGGTACGGGAACGTGTGCACACTACTGGACCGGAACTAGACTGAGCACCCCGAGCGACTCACTGCATGGTCGCGATGGAACTGGTGCGCTACCACATCGATATCGCGGCCC